ATATGGTCCGATGTCCATCCAAATTTGTACGCTTCTGCCCAGTCCTAAACTCTAACTCCATGCAAAATTTCACAGAAAATCAAGTATTTTTTTCTGTTTTTGGTCCATTTCATCTCCGAAATATTTTGCGATCATCTCCAAAAACAATAGGGTACTGTTCTGACCCCATCCACACCTCCGTTTTAAATTTCGTGAGGATCGGACCATAATTGCGACCTGTAGCGTGATTACAAATTAACATGAAGAAACGGACATACATACCTAGATCGACTCGGCTCGACGAGCTAGGAAGATGCATATATACTTTCTTATGTGGAAAACCAATATTTCGAGGTGTTATATAATTTTTGGCCCAATCAAACTTATAATACCCCCAAGTATAAAACGTAAGTATAAAAACGTAATTTTTGCAATAACATACTTCCCCGTAATAATCATAACCTCAGTTAAATTGTTGTATAGTTTTTTACTGTTAGCTTAATACCGCTGCAAAGGCGATGGGGATCAATTTGCTTAATAAAATCATATCCCAATCTGAAAAGATTTCAATATAATTTGACAAAATTTACTTTTACAGCAAATATATATATATATATATATATATATATATATATATATATATATATATATATATATATATATATATATATATATATATATATATATATATATAGATATATATATGGGAGCTATACCAAAACCTTAACCGATTTCAATATAATTTGTACTTTTTTTTTTTTTTGGGTATATATATATATATATATATATATATATATATATATATATATATATATATATATATATATATATATATATATATATATATATATATATATATATATATATATATATATATATATATATATAAATAATCAAAGTAACGAATATCAAGAGATATCGTTGTATGTATATATATATATATATATATATATATATATATATATATATATATATATATATATATATATATATATATATATATATATATATATATATATATATATATATATATATATATATATATATATATATATATATATATATATATATATATATATATATATATATATATATATATATATATATATATATATATATATATATATATATATATATACATATATATATATATATTTTAAAATTTGGGAGATACTTGTGCAGCGGTTTTCGAGTCCATAAATTACAAACATACAAGCATTTTCCTCTTTTGTAGGCTTAGATAGCGGTACCTCCATATTCGGTATTTTAACCACATTTTTAAATGGAATTGTATGAAATTCTACACAAGAAATTCTTTGTGAGTACTTTACTCTCTGGAAGAGAATTGTATACATATGTACATGATATCGAATAGCCTACATACAACAGTACCTCCAATATTCGCTATTTTGGATAATTTTAGCGACATTTTTATCGGAATTGCTTAAAATTGCGTATGCAGGTCCACATCTTCGTATAGCCCCATACAACGATATCTCTTGATATTCGTTACTTTGATTATTTTAAGTACAATATTCACCGGGATTGTTTAAAATTTCGTATTAGAAGCTCGTAATGGAAACAATAGCCTATGACAGAAAATTGTCCATACAGGTCCACGTCCGCGTATAGCTCCATATAACGATACCTCCCAGTATTTGGTATTTTTATGAGTTTATATTGTAAACCGGAATTGTTTCAAATATCGTATTTGAAGTTCGCAATCGTCACTACAACCTATGACAAAAATTATTTATGCAGGTCCACGTCTTCGTATAGCCCCCATATGAAGGGTTTAATTTTAGAGATATTTTTCGAAGTATTTTTTGAAAATTTTCAAGTTCCTTCAAAATGGTAAAGGGTATTAAATTTAGCTGCTTTTTACTTGTTAGCTCTACTTTCATACTATTTTCGGTTTTTCTTAAAATTTGAACAAAAAAATATAATTTTGTCGCAAATCAAAAACATTAGTCCATAAAACCCTATTAGATCTCAATCCATATCAATTGCCATATTCTTTTTTTGGCAAAAAGAATAAAATCTTAATTCCTGAAGATAGCTCTAAATTGACATTGTCAAAAATTAATTCAGATGAACGAAGAAACTGTTTAAGACCGATTGCAAATACCTATTTTATTTAGGCAACCTTATGAATGATTTTTTACTTTCCTATTTAAAACATACACATCCGCAATTTAAGCTGATTACAAAAACGAAATATCGCAAAAATTCAGTTGCCTTCATCGTTTCTACGTTCATAAATATCTGTATATATGTGGATAAATAAAGTAACAGGAATTCCATTCCTCCGAAAAGGTATGAACATTTCTTTAACAATCTCGCACTTCATTGTGATGAGCATAAGAATGTTACACGCTATTTAAGGTATCATTGTTTTCTTCAGTATTAATAAATGTCAGAAGAATTTGAAGTTGAAGTTATGAAGAAAACAAACACACACACACGTTCTCAAACACATTCATACATTGCGGCGATATGCGGTAGTTTCACAGAAACTCATTTCGCTAACTGAAATGGCACGTCTCCATGGGATTATAAAAACGTCTAAACTGTATGTGCCCAACAGATAATTTCCTTGAACTGACCAACATTGTATAAGAGAAAAAAAAAAAGGTATGAAGGGAATTTAAGGAATTTTCCAGGAAGTTAAACAGACTGACAGCCAAATACCTCAATTGGATGGAGAAAACAGTAAAGTATACACTTTGTTTCATTATGATAAATCCGAGCCAGCAGAGAATGGACAAATGCTGGCCTTCACCAAATATATGATAACCAACACCACTATATATATTTGGTAGAACCGCCAGAAATAATTAAATTTTGGGTAAATTTGAAATCAGTTGGAAGTAACATGTGGAAGCTATATTTAAATCGAAATGGTGGGAGTTATTTTATTTTATGTGACCTCTCATACCAAATAACTTTGCAATAAAGAAAATTTTTTTAGAAGGCATAAATTAAAATCGCGTAAAACGTATATGGTGCTAAAGCTGCATTTGACTCGATTTACTCGGAACTTGCCTGACTTTATTCTAGTCGGAACTTGATCACATGATATAACTATATCGGATCCACTTTCCAACCCTAGTAGCTGTAATTATTCCTTTCAACTTCACATTGGATGTTAACCCTTTCTTTGGAAATTGACAATATAGGTACACTATTTTCTATAGAATCCTGACATATTTTAAGGGATCTTTTTCTGGCTGCAATTAATTTGATATTTTGAAATCCTAACAATAAAATTTCAATGTTTTATATTTTGGAATAGCCTGCTAATCACGTTAACCCCCAGTTTTGGAATTTTGAAAACCCTTACATAATATTCAATCTGTATTAAATATATTGAATATATACCAACAATACCTATTCAATTCGGCTCTTTTAACAAAAATATCAACTTTTTTTAAAATTAAAAAAATTTGGCCTAAACAAATTATAAAAGAGTCGAAAAATACCGCTTATATGAAAACAGTTTCATGGAAGTTATACGAAGACGTGGACCTACGTAATTTTCTGCCATATACTGTAGTACCGATTCTGAATTTCAAATACGAAAATTGAAACAACTCCGGTGAATACTGTCGATAATATCATCAAAATACCGAATTAAGGGAGGTACCTTTATATGGGGCATATACGATATCGTAGACAATTCTCTTCCAGGGTATTCAGAAATTCAAACAAAAAATTGGCTACAATCATCAATATACCGAATATCGGGAGTACCATTATATGAGGACTGTACTATGTATGATGGAGTGTGCTGTCAATCCGATACGGTCAAAAAATGTTCATCGAAATAACGCATAGACAGACGGACTGGCAGATATATCCTCAAAATGCAATGCTTAGTGGTTACTCTTGAGAATTTTCATAGAATCACTTTCTGAGTCGATTTATGCATGTATTTTTACAGTACATGTTGCATTTGTTGTCCGATCCGGATGAAATTTTGCACAAATCATTTGTTTGACCCAATGACGAACCCCATTGAAAATGGAGATAATCAGTCAAAATTGATATTTGTTCTCCACAGCCTACTATGCACTCCGTACCAACAATATTTAGGGAAATATATCAAATTCAGCTCAGAAATACCTTTGCCAAATTTTATCGAAATGGCTTCTGATTTTGATATAGCTCCCATATATATCTTTTTATCTGATTTCAAGATAATTGTGCACCAAATGGGTAATACAGGCCCGAATTGAAAAGACACAAATGCCTTGGCAAATTTAGTCCTTTGGACTTTAAATTATAACTACAATCATAACTACAAATTCCGAAATCAAAGCTCTACTAAATATGCAAAATGGTGTAGGGTATCATAAAGTCGGCCCGACCGACTTTAAGACTTTCTTTTCGGGTTTTCACATGTAAATACGTCCGGAGGGGACTGACTGGTACTTCTGAAACTAAAGATCAAAATTGTTAATAATCATAATTTTCATAATTTCGTGTACCCGAATTGTTTTTACAAACATTAGAGCTGGAATACAAGTGGGATATGTAGGTCCAAGAATTATGGTCAAATGCCGAGTGTCAGAATAACAACTGTTCTGTTTTGTAATTTTTTGTTCTGTTTTGTAATTTTGGAAAAAATTAAGTTGGCTATGCAGTCCATCCTACGATGTACAAAAATTATTTTTTTCAGAATCATTCTATAATTTAAAATCATATTTCAAATTTGAAAACCGTAAAAGAAATATTGAATATAACTTTATGAGAGTGTGTAATAAAACGACCCCGACGAATTATGAATTCGAATTTCAATCTTGTAATAGTCAAATACAAATGCATATGAATAGCGAGATTTTCTCACTGTCAAAGCAACACCATAATGTCCTTATTTTGCTATTCATTGTGCGATAGAATAGAATACTAAAACAAAACCCCACACACTCAACACTACCGCACTAAATATATAAATATATACCAACATACATATATACATGTATACACACACATGGTTATACATTTGATTGTATTTGCAGTTTACCAAATGGCCACATAAATATAAATGCTTTCGATCGTATGGCTGCCATCGTCGGGGCTTTTACCAAACACATGCAATCGGTTAAAACAACAGATGCTCCACAAACCACCGCAACCATTGGCAGTAGCAGTACCGACAACAACAACAGGGTATCCGGTGCTACCATTGCGCCACAGGTAACATCTGCAATGGTCTCCGCCAGCGCCAACAACACAGCCTCCACATCCACCGCATCCGCCTGCACAGCATCATCGTCGTCCTCGTCATCGTCGACACCGGCAACAGGAGGTGAATATGAGATGTTTTGTCGCCATATGCAGAAAATTACGCGACTTAGTGAAAATGGTAAGTGGTAAAAGTTTTTTTTTTTCATTTTAAGTTTTGTTTGTTTTTCCGGGTGAACAAAAGCTTCATTCCACCGTCAAATAACCAGCATGGGGGGCGACGTAGGGGCAAGGACTAAACAATAAAATTTATTGTTTGAAGTGTAAAAAAAATGAAAGAAAAGAAAATGTGGAACAATAATGCTTTTATTGTTTGCACATACACACACACAGAAAAATGAAATCAAAGAAAACGGAATGGTTTAACAAAATTCCTAGTTTGGTACAATAGAAACAGAGGTTTGTGATTTTTCCGAAGAACAAAAATTATGAAAATGAAGGAGAAAGTTTTATTCTTTATTTCTTTGTAAAGTATACGTTTGGAAAAAAAAAAACATTGCAAAACTTTCGAAATAATAGTTTTCATATGCGTTTTGATAAAGATGTATAGCCTGAATGTGATGGGATTCAGCTAAAATGGAATGAATCTCATATTTGGGCTCTGAATCCACAATTGAATCTTTGAAAGTTTTTCCATGAACTATACTCAAATTTGTTAGGTAAACTGTTTGTACCTGAATTGAAAACCTTCATAAGAAAAAAATAATCAATTTCATAACGTTTGTCAAGGTAACTTGATTTTTATACCCTCCACCACACATGATATGGAGGGTATATTAAGTTCGCCATTTCATTCGTAAATCATCGAAATAATAATTTTAGACCTAACAAATTCATCAGCGTAAAATTCTAAGATGATTTAGCCCTGTCTGTCCTTTCGCCGTCTGTATGTCCATCCGTCTGTCCTTCCGTTTGTTGTAATCACGTTAGAGTCAAAACGAATTAAGAGAGGAGGCTAAAATTTTGCACAGATCAGTTTTCTTTGTATGCAGGCAGATCAAGTTCGAAGATGGGCTATATCGGTCCACGATATCATATATCCCCCATATAACGATACCTACCTACATTCGGTATTTTAATGATTTTAGCCCCATTTTTCAATGGAATAATCTGAAAATCTACACAAGGAGTTCTTTATGAGTACTTTACCTCAGCAAGAAAATTGTCGCTATATTCGGTAATTTGGTGTTTTAGCGTAATTTTTTCAATGGAAATTTCTGAAAACCCACGATATCAATATAACGGTACCTCCCGGCATTCGGTATTTTGATGATTTTAGCCCTATTTTTCAATGGAATTATCTGAAATTATACACAAGGAGTTATTTGTGAGTACTTTACAACCCTCCTCCCCTGAGATAGAATTGTCTATATTGGTCTACGATCTCGTATATATAACGGTACCTATCGATATTCGATATTTTGCTGATTGTAGCCAAATTTTTTAATGGAATTGTCTCAAAATCCACACAAGGATTTTCTTGCGATTACTTTTTTCCTTAGAAGAGAATTGTATACATAGGTCCACGATTTCGTACATCCCCCATACAAAGGTACGCCCGATATTCGTTATTTTGATGATTGTAGCGGCATTTTGTCTACGATTTTTATACCATACCCTACATAGTGGTAAAGGTATTATGTCATTGTGCATTTGTTTTTAAAATGGAGAAGGAAACGAGATAGACCCATATTTCCTTTTGGTGATCAGCATAGAATCACACTTTGAGTCGATTTATGTATGTCCGTCCGTCTGTCTATATATTTTTGTATACAAAATGCAGGTCGCCTTTATTATTCCATTTATATGAAATTGTCTAAACAATATTTGTTTGGCTCAAGGACGAACCCTATTGAAATTGGCGAAAATCGGTCGAAATTTAGATATAGCTCTCATATATATCTTCATCCGATTTTAGGTTTCTTGTGCACCAAATAGCTAATATCAGTCCAAATGGTTTGAATTTTGCTACATCCGACCGAATTCAGCCTATGTGCTTCATATTTGGTGAAAATTCGCTATAGCTCCCATATATATGTTTCATTCGATTTTGGTGTTTAAGTCGCTTACATTCGTTATATGCAGTCAAAAAGACTGATATTTAGCACCAGATATCTGATACAGCCTAGTAATTCATAGATCAAATTTTATCAAGCTCGGTTCAGATTTGGATATAGCTCCTATATATTTATTCATCCGATTTTAGGTTTCTTGTGCATCAAATGGTTAATATCAGTCTAAATGGTGTGAATTTTGGCATTTCCGACCGAATTTATATAGAAATAAGTACTTTAAATTTGGTGGAAATCGGTTCAGATATAGCTACAGCTCCAATATATATGTTTCATCCGATTGTTAGCTTAAGTCCCTCAAATTCGTAAAATGCACGATAGAAGAATAATATTTGGTACCAGATATAAGATACAGCCAAGAAATAGCTGTTTTCAATTTTATAAAGATCGGTTTGGATATAGCTCCCATATCATTATCCGATTTCAGGTTTATTGTGCACAAAATGGCTAATATTAGTCCAAATGGATTTTCGATTTTCAACCGAATTTAGCATAGAAGCAAGAATTTCAAATTTGCTCCCATATATATGATTCATCCAATTTGGTGTTTAAATCTCCAACTTTCGAAATATGCACTCTACCATAATCATATTTTGTACCAGATATCTCATAGAGCTCAGATTTGCCCAATCTAAACCTTTCTTTTTTTTGTGTAGGGTATCATATAGTCGGCCCCGTCCGACTTTTGAGCTTTCCTTACTGTTTTTTTTTTTTTTTTTTTTGAATTTTTCGAATAACTTCAAAATGGTGGATGGTATTTTATGTTTGGCCTGGTAGAAATTAGCCGTTTTTACTTGTTAGTATTGCTTTCAAAATCTGCTGAATTTTTTCTATAATAATTATTTGTATTGTACAGTGTTTATCAAATTTCTCCGTTTTATAACAACATACATCACATTTGATACGACCACAATGTATCTAATCGAAATCGTCGATCTTATACCATATGCCTTTTTAAACGAAATCTGTTTCAGGGTATTTTGGGTCTATCTAATAATATCAATTAGTCTGTATGACTGGTGTGGACAATAACTCTCGGAAAGACCTAAAATGGCAAAGACTGGACAAAATGCATTATCGAAAAATAGTTAATATGAAAAATATCTAGAGGCGCTTCTCTCAACAGAGGCATTTAACATAAAAAGAACAATTATAGATCAGTTTTATGAAAAACGTTTCCTGCAAACGAAAGACTGTTCTCAAAATTGTATTCCATTGACGTTTTCAATCAGTTAAAAATTGCATTTGCTGTTAAAACAACTTAACATTGAAACTTGACTCATCAGATATCTGAGATTTCATATTTAGCCTTTTGCAAAGATTTTTCGAAAATCATACATTTTTTCTAATAAAAGGAACGAAACTTTACAAAATGTTAAGGAGAGAAGCTAGGAAATTTAATTTTGGAATGGGTTCATTTCTGGCGTAAAGGCTCACAAATAGAAATTTTTGTAGAACTAGCTGGCCCGGTCCGCGTTGCCGGCCCGTAGTTTTTGTCTATTATGCATATATTCCCAAGCATAATTATTCACAGATATGACTGATATAAGTGTTCACGTACATGTCGATTTAAAGTGTTTTAAAATACCTGTACCCATTTTTAACCAGTGGGCTTCAATATTTAAACCGTGGGCTTCAACTGTGTGGATGTGCTATACAAATCTATTAAAAAGTATATATCAATCTTATCGCCATATAAGGGATCAAATTAATTTTTAATATCGTAAAAATCGTAGCAAAATCTTCCAGTCAAATGAGCAGTAATTTGGAATTTGCTGTATTTTGTATACTACATAATTGAGGGCTGAATGATTTAAGAATAGCCAAAGTTAATTACTTTTTTAAACCCATTAGCAACTTAGATTGTGCATTAGAGTCCTCATAAGTCCCCCTAACCATGTCAGTCTGTTTGTCCGCCAAAAGGTGGACTTGAGAGGGTATTATAACATGGATAAAAATTCTAAAATTTGTAGATATGTTGAAATTTTTGTGTAAGATTTTCACCCCCCTAATACGCATTATTAGCCAAATTCTTTGAAATGTGGTTAAATTAGGAGGTACCTTCTTTATATGGGCACTACTCCGAAACATCGACCTACATTGAAAACTTTCTTCTACCCCTTATAATCCAAGATGACAAATAGGGGCCAAATCAAAAATATAGCAGAACAATATAGCATGTCATAGCATTTCGCGTGATTTAAATAAGTAAAAATAGTTTTATCCACCTCATAATTGCGGGCAGAATGATAAGATGGGAATTAATTTTATTTGCCATTTAAATCGTAAGTTGGAGACCCCTTAAAAGTACGTTTATATATATGAGGGTTAACCCACTGGATTTGGATTTAAATTGTCATATCCATTACTTGTACTTCAAATAAATCCTGTCAAAGTAAGTTAACCCTACAAAAAGTTCTAAGGTAAACATGGCATAGAGTCCATATTTTCATCATAGGATAATTCAATGATGATTAAACAAATATTCGGTCCCGTGCTACTTTCTAATATTTGTAATTTGTTCATGTTTCCACAATTTATTTCATATGGATGCACATCCCAAATCTACGTTCCCAACCAATATTCTCTTGGGGGTTAAAAATTCAATAGAATACAAAATTTTCTTTTCCGACCACACATTAGATGTAAAAGTGGACTTGGGGATACTCCAATGTGGGGACTTTACTTAAATAAATTCCTATGTGGCAATTATCTGTATGATGGTTCCCTACCCCAGGGTGGCATAAATAAAATTTTGTAGCCAAATCAATTGATGAATGTGGTCAATACCAATATGGGCCCTACTCTGAAAATTTCAAATTTTATGCGAAGAGGTTATCTACCCCCTTAGAAACAAAAATGTCAAATAAGGGCCAAAAAATGAAAAAAGTGGCCGGCCAAGACCCCAAAAATAACTTAAATCATAGATGGATATATAAATATGAAATCGGGTTGTTCCCTTATCCGTGAGTTATGATCGATATAAAGACCTGCAAAAGTGATTTTAGGTATTTTGAATGTTTGGGAAGAATTTCTGGAAGGATATAAAACCTTTTCTTACTAAAAGTCCCATTCGCTCTACTATTTTGCACCTTTTATTTCAATATTGGTATATTACTTATTATTCTCCCAAAGAATTTTGCATTTTGAGCTCTCATTGGACGGATCATTGTCACGCTTTGAAATGAGCCCCATTAAGCTTTTTCGGTCATTTTTGTTTGTTTAAATGTGTTCGCATCTTCCAGCTAACCCACGATGTAGGCCCTGGAGTTGAAAGGTAGATTTCAGTTAACATCCTATTTCGCACTTATTTAATTTTTTAGTGAAAAATTATTCTTTATTTTGTTCACAAAAAATCCACTGAATGACAAAAAAAAGAATAACAAATTGAAAAATCTTCAACTTTTTCGCTGATTTTTTACAGCAAATGTTTTAAGATCCTTCCTTACAAAGTTTGTCAATAGAATGTACTATTACTTTAAAATTCGATTCCATTGAAAATGTTTTTTTGATTTTTGCAATGAGATCTCTTTTTCATGATTTTTCAGCGATTTAGAAAAAGTAATTATCTTTTAACTTTGGTGTGACCGCGTTAAATTATTTCGATATCATCTATTCCGTTTCGCCACCACATAATTCGCTACTACACTTCCATGTAACCCGCCATCAATTTCAGTTCTCAAGAAATCAAGTCAATTAAATAAATTGGAATAAATATTCGAATTCAAAAATAAAATATAAAAAAACACTACAAATGTACATTAGAAAAAAGTAAGTCAAAATGGAAAAAAATCATGCAAAATAAAACATTACTATTGTACATTTGAAAAGTCAAAATGAAAACGTAATATATCACATTTTTACGCGATTTTTTTGGATATTATCCTTTTCGGAGAGTAGACAACTCCGAATTTGTGTGAATCGTTAAAATTAATCCAGCGGTTCTTAAGTTATAAGCGTAGTAACTAACACAACTTACATTTATATATATAGATTTTATAATTAAAATGTAAAATACTCAATACTCAAAAGTTTTATATTCTAAATGTTAGTAAATTCTTAAATGAACTAAAATACAGTTCTGGAGGCAAAATATCAAAGCTTTTAGCGTAGACATTCTAGGATTTTAGAATTAAGTACCAAAAGGCAATAAATATTTTACCATTGGAGCAAAAATTCTGAATATGAAACGTCGCTAACCTATTTTTCAAAAGATCGCACATTTTGAGTACTTAAGGATGTAAGTGCGAAGGAATTATGCTAAAACTCCAAAAATAACTGTTTCTTTAGGCCGTCAGTGGACTGTAGTTTTGGGTGGTTTACTGCATATACTGGGTGAGATAACAAAAACTGCAACAAAGTCAAACGCCATAATTTCTACATTTTTTTACATTTTATTGAATGAAAGCAAAAAATTGTCAGAATAACATCGAATTTTAGAATAAGTTTAGATTTGTTCGAATTGGTCACCTTTGGCACGAATTATGGCTTTCATACGGCCAATGAAACCGTCACACACTGCCCGAAAGTTGCTCTGCGGCATTTTGGGCCATTACCGGCGAAGCGGTTGCTTGAGGTGATCGACACTTTGGTATTTTTTAGAGCCAACCTTGATTTCCAAAATACTCCAGACACAATAGTCCAACGGATTGGTATCCGGAGATTTTGGTGGCCATTCTGCGCTGGAAATGAAGCGAGGAACCTCATTTTGTAACCATTGCTGGGTGGCGCATGCTGTGTGCGATGGTGCTGAGTCCTGTTGGAATGTCCAAGGCCTGCGGCCAAAATGTGTGCTTGCCCAAGGCTTTAATACACCCTCCAGAATAATTTCGCAATATTATTCGGCATTTATTCTGATTCCACGGTCGTTTAATACGAGCGGAGAGCGACAATCGGCTGTTATGGCGGCCCACACCAACACCATGACCTGCGCCTGAGTTCTGGTAACCAACCGAAGGTGCACATTTTTAGCTGACCTCTTTGGCAAGAAAATACAATCATTTTGTTTGTTTACAAACTGCTGGACAACGAATGTTTTCCCATCGAAGAAACCCAAATACGGTAGTTCCCCACTTTTGGCCAAGCGAAGCAACTCTTAAGCTCTTTTGAGTCTATTTTCTTTCTGTTGCGTTGTAAGTTCTTGAACTTTTTTGAAATTTCAATGACTTAACCCCGAGCTTATTTTTCAATATTTACCGAATGGAATATTGCGATATGTTCAGCTCACGAGCCATTTTTCGGTCACTGCGACGCTGGTTTCGAGCAAGTCGCTTCTTTACTTTTCGAAACATTTCTGCTTATGTTGCTGTTTTCTTCCGTCCACTTCCTTGACATTTAAATGCTGGAGTGCTCTAACGATAGCCACTTTTTGTTTTCCAGCAAAATATAAGGAAATTACACTATCACGCTTGAATTCCATCACGAATAACGTTTTTTTCTGGAAAATTCTCACCAAAATGCTTTTGTACGCTTGTAAACAATATAATGCGCTGTCACTAGAATAATTTTAACAGCTGTCAGATGAGTGGCGTAGAAATGCCAGCAGTCTGAAGTTGGTTGCAGTTTTTGCATCTCACTCTGTATTAAGGGAAAATATCGACCAGAGGGCTGCAATGAGTATGATTGAGTAGGCTTGATCACACACAGTGGAAATACAATCAAACTCAATCAGTCGGTCAGATGCAACATGTTCATTCGAGTTACTCAAGCCAAACGAAAAAGTTGTGATCAAACATGTATTGATTGAAGTTTTGTGATCGCAATCAAACAGCTCACATGAGTTATTTGTTTACGAACTTATGTTGAATTGTTCATAACGGGTCGATCATCTACGATGAGTCTGATCGGTTTTATTTATCCTAGTTAAGTGAGTGATTTGATTAGATTAAAACACAAATGTACGAATTTGAGCGAAATCATGATTGTAATTTTACTAAGGATTTCATAACTAAAAGATGTCCCCATTAAAGAAATTGGTACAAATTATATTTAATAAGCATACAATTTTTCATTTTATTTGGGTTTTTGGTATGCTAGATTTCAGTAACTTATTTGAAAAAAAAAAAAAAAAAAAAAAACAAAATTAAATTTTTTAATAAAGAAACACATCATTGGTATTTAGAAAACTAAAAATGTTTAAATATTTTTTTATTTTACAATATTGGTCAAGATTTTTCACAAACTTCGACCTTTTCGCTTACCTACACCTGTGTAGTTTCTACTTGCAACAATTTTGGTATTCTCCCATTTCAAATATTAAAAAAGTCAAAATAAACTGTCCCAACTTGATTAAATGGTTGAATAAACAATGACGCTGAGCGAACTCGATTCAAAGAAGACAATCACGGTTGTGATTGCTCATTTACATTCATGTGTTCGATCAACTCATGTTGCTGAACACATTAAACCGTCTCGAACGCTCATGTTTGATTGTGAGTGAAGTGATTCAAACTGAGCGTTCGATTCGATCAGAAGCGAAAACGGTCATTTCATTCAGATCAAACTAAACGACTGCATCAACAAAAATCATGTAAGAAACCGAGTATGCTTGAATTTTTGCATATTCGTTGCAGCCCTCTGATATCGACTTTATATAGGGACTTCGTGAAAACTCAAGATAACATTATTTAGCGAACATGGAAATAGAAATAGTCATAGCCATATTTAGTGGGACATATGGAATCGGATTCAGCCGGAACACGTTCTATGCTTACCTTGAGTTATCTAACACTTTGCAAAAGATGTACAAAATAATACTCAGTATCAAGAGCTGAGTTGATTTTTATTGTTTGACGATGCAAAGAAAAAAGAGAACTAAGTATATACATTATTTGGCCGCGGTTAGCATTAAAGTTGTAATTCAACATACTAAATACAGCGCCCTTTACTTACTAAATTACGTTAAATATTAATTTGATCGTAAGCGGTTAAGGTGGCCAGTTAACAAACATTGTTATTTTGAACTAAGCTATTTTTTTAATTTTTTATCTTCTGTATAATTTTAAAAATTTAAATTTGGAAAAATCAACTTTTTTCCACGGTTAACTTATGACAACTACCTTTAAGTACAAATAACCCCCTTTAATTCCCTTATATATGAATCGCTTTTAAAATTTCCATTCTGTTTCAAAAACTTTCCTTGCAGATTTGTTGACCGACCCCTCCTCACCTCCCTGCAGTATGAAAATATCAATTACCCCCCACACTTCCATTCTGGACAGATTGTCGAATATTTTGAATGGACAAGAATAATTGGCCCTTTGTGTTGCAGTCGTTTTGACCCAATTTGAAACGTTCGATTGATGCCGACCATTTAAAATTTTTTTCTGAAATATTTTTGTACAGCTTGGCCATAGATAATATGATGAGAAGGACTAATAACAGCCCATTTAATATTAAATATTACAATCTAATGTTGGACATTCACAGGAATCTTTGTCTGTTCGAATAGGCGGTGACCCAAAATTATATTCCAAAAATATTTAATTAACAATATTATGATATTTTTTTTTTTTTTTTTTTTTTTTTTTTTTGAAAAGGACTAAATGTTTAAATAATTATTCCATATTTTTATTGATAACTCTAAAATTAAGTGTATATTTCATAAGTTTAACAATTTGAAAATAAAAATATAATCGCATATGATTGCATAAAAAATTCCTTCGTCTCATCTTTGATAATAGCAGTGATGAAATATCAAAAGTATGGCGGGCCGAATATATGACACCCAACACAACTATACGTATTTAACAGAGCTGCCGTAACACAAAAAAGATGTGTTGGGTATTTATGTGAAATGCGAACTGCGAACTAACGTAAACAAAAGAATTTATTTGAAGTAGATCATTAGTAAAAACACCAAATCGAATGAAGCTACATCTGAACCGATTTTCTCTAAATTTGATGTAAAAATTTAGGATTTTTGGACAGATATTGGCCATTTGGTGCACTGTTAGCCCGAAATCGGTTGAAGATATACATGGGAGCTATATCCAATCTTGATAAAATTTGGCAGTGGTATTTGTGGGCTATATTTGATATCTGGTATCAAATATCATTTTTGTCGAATGTATAATGCGAATGTGTGGGACTTAAACACCAAATCAGATGAAACATATATATTTGGGAGCTATAGTTATATGTGAGCAGATTTTCACCAAATTTAATGCACTTTCTTCTAGACTGAATTCGGTTGGATATGCCAAAATTCATGTCATTTGGAATCGTTTGTGCACAATATACCTGAAATCAGATAAAGATATGTAAGGGAGCCTGAACTGATCTCGACAAAATTTGATCCACTTATTTCAGAGCTGTATCTTCTGTATCTGGAACAAGGACCATCGTTGTGGAGTACATAATACGCATGTGAGGGACTTTAACACCAAATCGGATGAAACATATATATGGGACCGATTTTCACCAAATGTAATGTTATTGCTTTTAGCTGAATTCGGTCGGATGTGCCAAAACTCAGATAATTTGGACGAATATTGGTTATTTGGTGCAAAATTAACCCGAAATCCGTTGGGGATATATATGGGAGCTATATCCAAATCTGAACCGATCTTGAAAATTTGATACACTTATTTTAGAGCTTTATCCGATATCTGGCACCAAAGATCATTGTTGTAGAGTGCATATTACGCATGTGAGGGACTTAAAACCCCTATATCTGAACCGATTTTGAGTAAAATTGACGTTCTTGCTTCTAGGCCAAAATCGGACAGATGTACCAAAATTCAAAACTGATCGAAATAATCATTTTAGACCCAACAAAGTATATATATTCTTGATCAGCGTAAAATTCTAAGACGATTTAGCCCTGTCCGTCCGTCTGTCCTTCCGTCCGTCTGTCCGTCTGTTGTAATCACGCTACAGTCTAAACGAATAAAGAAAGGAAGCTAAAATTTTGCACAGATCTCTCTTTTGTCTGCAGACAGTTCAAGTTCGAAGATGGGGTATATCGGTCCACGATATCGTATAGCCCCCATATAACGGTACCCCCGATATTCGGTATTTTGATGATGTTAGCCACATTTTTCAATGGAATTGTCTGAAAATCCACACAAGTAACTACTTGTGGATACTTTATACCTCGGCAGAGAATTATCTATATAGGCCCACAATATCGTATAGCCCCCATATAACGGTACCCCCGATATTTGGTATTTTGATGATTTTATCCACATTTTTCAATGGAATTGTCTGAAATTCCACAAAAGGAGTCCCTTGTGGGCATTTTACCCACTCAAAAAGAATTGTTTATATAGGCCCACGATATCGAATATCCCCCATATAACTGTACCCTCCGATATTCGGTATTTTGATGATGTTAGCCACATTTTTCAATGGAATTGTCTTAAAATCCACACAAGTAGTTCTTGTCAGTACTTTACCCCCTGAGAGGTCCACGATATCGTATGTCCCCCATATAACGGTACCCTCGATATTCGGTATTTTTATGATTTTACCCACATTTTTTATCGGAATTGTCTGAAAATCCAAACATGGAGTTCCTTGTGGGTACTTTATCCCTCGGCAGAGAATTATCCATATAGGTCCACGATATCGTATATCCCCATATAAATGTACCACCGATATTCGGGATTTTGATGATTTTAGCCACATTTCCCAATGAAATTATCTGAAAATCCACACAAGGAATTCCACACATAGATTTGTCTATATAGGTCCACAATAGCGTATATCCCCCCATATATCGGCACCTTCCGATATTAGGTATTTTAAAGATTTTAACAGAATTTTCAATGGATTTTATTTTTTTTAATATTTTCTAATACGTTCCAAATGGTGGAGGGTATTTAAAGTTCGGCCCGGCCGAACTTACTGCTTTTTACTTGTTATACCATAAATTCCATATTCATCTCAGGTTAACATTTTGGGGGAAGACCGATATTGCCCATATCCGAACTCGATCTAAGTTTGACAATAATATTAGGATGTACAAAGTTTAGATCAAATCGGATACTCCCTTCGAGGGTTATCGTGCGCACAATCCAGCCAGCTAGATGGACTCCAAATATCCCGAAATTGGTCCAAAGAGACCTAGGGTCTAAAACCGTTATTTCGATGAGGCACGTTTTGGTCGTTTCAAATGATATATACCCTCTGTTGCCATATGGCCGAGGGTATACAGAACAATTGAAACTTATGTTGGCTATGTATGATTGAAACCCAAACCGTTTAAATAATATTTTCAGTATAATTTTATTATATTGGATTTTACTCTCCACAATTCCGTTAGTAATTCCTCGAAATTTACATTTGATCATCATAAATTTCTATGCAAATATCCCTAGCTTCCGAACAAAATGAAGTAGGTTGATAAAATGTTACAATATATCGCACCTTACGATATTCTGTATTCTTAAGATTTTAACAGAAATTTTTATGGCTTTTATTTTATTTTATACCCTACACCACATAGTGGTGAGGGTATTATGTCTTTGTGCATTTGTTTGTAACATGGAGAAGGAAACGAGATAGACCCATAGTTACTTTTGAGAACCTTCATAGAATCACTTTCTGAGTCGATTTATGCATGTCAGTCCGTCTGTCCGTCCGTCTGTCCATGTATTCTTGTGAACAAAATGCAGGTCGCATTTATTGTCCGATTGAGATGAAATTTTCCAAACAATATTTTTTTGGCCCAAGGACGATCCCTATTGAAATTGGTGAGAATCGGATCAAATTTAGATATAGCTCCCATATATATCTTTATCCGATTTCGGGTTAAATGTGCACCAAATGTCCACTGTCAGTCCAAATTACCTGAATTTTGGCACACCCAACCGAGTTCGGCCTAGAAGCAAGTATATCAAATTTGGAGAAAATCGGTTCAGATATAGCTATAGCTCCCATATATATCTTTCATCCGATTTGACCTTTAAGTCCCTCACATTCCTACTATGCAATCCACAACCGTGATATTTGGTACCAGGTATTAGATGGAGCACATAAATAGCTGTTTTAAATTTTATCGAAATCGGTTCAGATTTGGATATAGCTCCCATATATATCTTCATCCGATTTCGCGTTAATTGACCACCAAATGGCCAATATCAGCCCAAATGGCCCGAATTTTGGCACATGTGACCGAGATTAGCCTTAAAGCAAATACAACAAATTTGGAGAAAATCGGTTCAGAAACAGCTATAGCTCCCATATATATGTTTTATCCGATTTCGTCTTTAAATCCCTCACATTCGTAATATGCACTCCACAGGAATGATATTTGGTACCAGATATCAGATAAAGCCCAAAAATAGTTGATTTTAATTTTATTAAAATCTGTTCCGATTTGGATATGCCTCCCATATATATCTTCATCCTATTTCGTGTTAATTGTGCATCAAATGGCCAATATCAGCCCAAATGGCATGAATTTTGGCAAATCCGACCGAAACCAGTCTATGAGCAAGTACACCAATTTTAGTAAAAATCGGTTCAGATACAGCTCTAGCTCCCATATATATGTTTCATCCGATTTGCTCTTTGAGTCCCTTACATTCGTAATATACTCTTCACAGGAATGATATTTGGTACCAGGTATCAGATAAAGCCCAAAAATAGTCGATTTCAATTTTATAAAAATCTGTTCAGATTTGGATATAGCATAGCATAGCATACTCTTCACAGGAATGATATTTGGTACCAGATATCAGATAAAGCCCAAAAGAAGTCTATTTTAATTTTATCAAAATCTGTTCAGATATGTATCTTCATCCGATTTCGTGTTAATTGTGCAACAAATGGCCAATATCAACCGAAATGGCATGAATTTTGGCATATCTGGCCAAATTCAGCCTAGAAGCAAGGACACCAATTTTAGTAAAAGTCGTTTCAGATATAGATATAGCTCCCAAATGTATCTTCATCCGATTTCGGATTAAATGTGCAGCAAATGGCTAATATCGGCTCAATTGACCTGACTTTTGGTAGTCTAGAAGCAAGTACATCAAATTTAGTGAAAATCGGTCAGATACAGCTATAGCTCCTATATATACCTTTCATCCGATTTGTACTTTAAGTCCCTCAAATTCGAAAAATGTACGATACAAGAATAATATTTAGTATCAGATTCAGCCAAGAAATATCTTCTTTTTCAGTTTTACAAATATCGGTTCAGATTTGGATATAAATCCTATATATATCTTCATCCAATTTCGTGTTGATTGCGCACCAAATGTCCAATATCAGCCCAAATGTCCTGGGTTTTGGCACATCTGACCGAATTCAGCCTAGAATCAAATACATCAAACTTGGTGAAAATCGGTTCAGATATAGCTATAGTTCGTAAAATGCACGATAGAATTAGATAGATTTTGATTTTGTACCAAATATCTCATACAGCTCTCAAAGGCCCTGTATAAACCTTTTTGCGAGAGCTCTACTAAATATGCATAGTGGTGTAGGGTATCAT